TCTTTCTCCACATCAGTTCTCAAAGCCAGAAGAAAGTTTGCTCTAAGGATGTTGTTTCCACCCAACTGGAGACTGAAAGGTGCAAGTCCTGGGCAGAGCAGCAGAGGAACAAGGCTGTGGATGGTGGGCGTGTGGGCCTGAGCCTGGAGTGTTTCTTATGCTGCTGTGGGCGAGCACAGCGTGTTTGTGCAACAAGAGGGAGGGCAAAGGGACAGGGTCCCCAGAGCATTGAAACTGGCCCAAAGTCCCTTATCACCTGTGATACATTGTCAATCAACACTGGCCCGGAATAAATAAACTCATATGTCTTATGAAGAAGTTTCTATGAATCAGAGAGACAGAATCCCTTAAGATCGAGTGGATGCTAAAAACCATTAGATGGCCCTAGCTGGTTTGGCTCAGTGGATAGAGCATTGCCCTGCAGACTGAAGGGTCCCGGGTTCGATTCCGGTCAAGGGCACGTACCTTGGTTACAGGCTCCTCCCCGGCCCCTGGGCAGGAGGCAACCAATCAATGAGTCTCTCTCACATCAATGTTTCTGTCTCTCCCCCTCCCACTCTTTCTAAAAATCAATGAGAAAATATCCTCGGGTGAGGATTAAAATAAATACATACATACATACATACATACATACATACATACCATTAGAGCAGTGGTTCTCAACCTTCTGGCCCTTTAAATACAGTTTTTCATGTTGTGACCCCAACCATAAAATTATTTTCATTGCTACTGCATAACTGGAATTTTGCTACTGTTATGAATTGTAATGTAAATATCTGATATGCAGGATGGTCTTAGCCAACCCCTGTGAAAGGGTCGTTCGACCTCCAAAGGGGTCGTGACCCATAGGTTGAGAACCGCTGCATTAGATGCAAGGCGAAGGAAGAACAGACATCCACGTGATGTCAAATGTCTGCTGGTCACGAGAGAGAAAGCTAATCTAACAATGGTGGGACAGAGGTGGGACATCCCTTCGGGGATGCTGTGGGGACTGCTCAGGTGGCCCAGGAGGGCTCTTGCCAAGTCTTGACTGGATTCTGATGCAGCCTTGGGACCCAACTTGCAGTTCACAGAGCGTCTCAGGGACGGACGGGGCCAGTTCAAGACACAAGAAAGCAAGCAGCCTGATCCAGAAGTGGGCTGTTCCCTGTTCTCCTCTGCAAATGAGTGTCCTGGGGAAGAGAGGAGGCTTAGAGAGGATGACTGTTCTAGATGAAAAGAGATTTAAGGGGCCAACATCCAAGTGCAATGGAGTCCTTTTTAAAAATATATTTTTATTGATTTCAGAGAGGAAGGGAGAGAGAGAGAGAGAGAGCTATCAACGGTGAGAGAGAATCATTGATCGGCTGCCTCCTGAACTCCCTCTACTAGGTCGACGCTCAACCACTGAACCAGGGGCAGAGTCTTTTATCAGGCATGAACAAAAGAGGAGTCAAAGGCGCTGGGGGGCATGGAGGGCCTACTGTGGAGTGACTCTCAGAGGACAGTGGGACCACTGCTGCCTGTGCATTGGATGGAAAATGGCACTGAGCCATTTAACAAAATGTGCTTGTCAAGAAATGCACATTGAGCCCTAGCCGGTTTGGCTTAGTGGACAGAGCGTCAGCCTGCAGACTAAAGGGTCCTGGGTTCGATTCCTTTCAAGGGCACGTACCTCGGTTGCAGGCTTCTCCCTGGCCCAGGCCCGGGTCGGGACTTGTGCAGGAGGCAACCAATCGATGTGTTTCTCTCACTTGGATGTTTCTCTCTGTCTTTTCCTCTCTCTTCCGCTCTCCCTAAAAAAAATCAATGAAAAAACATCTTCAGGCGAGGCTTAACAAACAAAAAAAGAGATGCACATTGAAGCATTTTGGGAGAAAATGGCCTGTAAACTTACTTTAAAATGCTGGGAAGGGAATAGAATGGAAGGAAAGGGAAGAGCAAACTAGCAAATAAGAGGAGCTGGAGGGCACTGCCTGGGTTTCATTACACTAGTCTCTCTACTTGTCGGTTTGCTCGATGGTGTTCAAAATTAAAAGGGAAAATAGTTTGATGGTTCCTCAATAAATAAACATAGGTATCGCAAGACCCAGCAATTCCACTCCTGGACATATACTCAAAAGAACTGCAAACAGGTGTGCAAATAAAAGCCTGTACATGAGTGTTCGTAGCAGCGCGATTCACCAGAGCGGCAACAGGTGGAAACAACCCAATGTCCACCATCTGACGAATGTAACGGATGAAACAAATGTGGTCGTACACACAATGGAATATTACTTGGCCATAAAGAGGGATGAGATGCCGATACATGCTACAATGTGGGCGAACCTTGGAGACATTATGCTCAGTGACAAAAGCCAGACACACAATAGGCCACAGATGGTATGATTCCATTTATATGATGTAATATAAAATTTCACAAGAGCTGTCTTGACCTAGTTTGGAACTTATTCCTGAAAACCGCCTTTTCTCTGCTTTTCATGGGCAGTTTGTTGAGCTCCCATCCCAGCTACCTCCCTCATCGTGGGGCCCTCTCTCTGGGGCAACTAAACATGTCCTCACCCCCTTATTGGGCTCCCACACTCAGGGGTCAGTACGAGAAAACTAGGGACAGTCCCTATGCCCAGAGGGACCCCGCGGAAACTAGCATGCTACCCCGATGCACCCCCATGTGGCAGCCTCCTCTCCTTTGAGTTGTAAGGAAGAGTTCTGCCTTTCATCTCTCTAGGTGTCACTGTCTTGTGACCTGCCATCAAAAAATATTCTTATCTTTAAAAATATGACATGGCCTTGGCAGGTGTGGCCCACTTGGGTGAGCAGCATCCTGTGCTCGGAAGGGTTGCCGGTTCGATTCCAGGTCAGGGCACATGCCCAGGTTCCAGGATCAATTCCCAGTCTGGGTGCATAGTGGAGGCAGCTGATTGATGTTTCTCTCTCACATTGATGTTTCTATCTCTCTCTCTAAAAAAAAAAATCAATAAAAAGATATTTTTAAAAAAACTAACATAAGACATGTACAGAATAGGAAAATCCAGTCAGAGAGCAGATCGGTGGGCATGAGGTGTGAGGGTGTATGTGTGGTGGGGGCGGGGGGGAAGGAGCGGTGTGTGTGTGTGTGTGTGTGTGTGTGTGTTTGACTGCTTTGTGGGTATAGGGTTTTCTCCATGAGTGATGAAAATGTTCTGGAACAAGACAGCAGTGATGGTTGCACAACATTGTTAATGTACTTAATGCCGCTGAATTATTCGCTTTAGAATGGTCAATTTTGTTTTATGCGAATCTCATCTCAGTAAAAAAGGGGGGGGGTCAAGAGGTGTGGCTGTCGAGTAATCATGCTGATGTCCACACGTTACATTTCATTCTGACACCCCATCAGTCACTGGGGGGACAAAACGAGCTATAAAGGTGTAGGGTGGAGACTAGTGGGAACATCCGGGCTTTCCAGACCAGCAGCACATTATTTTGAAGAACAGCACTTGCTTCTTTTCTCTCTCCCACGGCTGTAACGCCAGGTCATGGTCCATCTTGGAAAACAGAAAAGTCTAAAGGAAGAGGCGTTATCTACGGTCCCCCGCTCCAAGACATACTGTCCAAGCCCCCAGTGGAGAAACAGCCATTGAGCTGTGACCGCCTGAGAGAAACAGCATGACAGGCTCACCTGTAGATGGAGACCAACATTCAAGTTCAACACCACAAGGTGCACTGGGAGGTGCCAGCCACAATGAGTGGTCGTACGCAACAGCGTCTATGCTTGAGGCCTAGACCCCCAAAGTCAGCACACTTCCAAATCCTGGAAGGAAAGACACACCAAGCCCTTTCCTCACAGACTATAACTCCAAGTAACCCTGCAGGTGGGAATGGGATGATGCTCCTAGCACGTGCATAAGGAACAGTCTAGAACAGCCGTGGGCAAACTATGGCCCGAGGGCCGGCCCGTTTGAAATGAATAAAACTATTGAAAAAAAAGACCGTACCCTTTTATGTAATGATGTTTACTTTGAATTTATATGAGTTCACACAAACACTCTATCCATGCTTTTGTTCCGGCCCTCCGGTCCAGTTTAAGAACCCATTGTGGCCCTCGAGTCAAAAAGTTTGCCCACCCCTGCTCTAGAAGGAGCCTGTGGAGCTGGAGAGCAGCTTCTCCTAAGACCCTTTGACCTTGGGCCACCAGAATAGAGGAGAAACTGAAAGATGATTCTGGACCCCGAAGCTCAGCTTTCCTGAAACCTGGCACTGGGATGCAGGGGAGGGTCCATCGGACAGCAGTGCCCCGGGCCAGAAGCCAGGAAGGCCCTGCCAGCCTCCTCCTGGGCTGGTTTGCCCCCAAGAAGGGGGCAGACTCCCACCCCTTCACTGATCCTGGCAGAGGAAAAGCTGAGAACCAGGAGCCACCTGCTCACCCCGAGGGGGGAGGGGAGGAGTGCAGGGGGCGAAGTGAAGCGGGCTCCAAAGCCCAAAGCGGGAGGGGTGGCCAGTGGGCTTGGGCGCTGATGCCTTTGGAAGACCACGAGATGGGGCTATTTCCCCAGAAAAAAGAAAACAGAAAACAAACAAACAACTGGAAAGGCAGCCAGCAATCCCACCACTCAGGCTGGATCAG